AACAGAATAAAACATCTGCTCATATGTCTATGGCTTGGCAATCAAAAAATATCAGAGCAACAGATTGGGGATGGTATTCCAAAGATGGTTTGTTATTACCCGTACGCATGAACAAACAACCTGCACTCGATGAACTTTTGAAAATTATTTTTTGCCAATGTAAAAAAGGATGCGGTGTTTTATGTGGGTGCAGAAAAGTTGGTTTATACTGTAACTCTACTTGTTCTGGGTGCTCAGGTGAAGAGTGCAATAATAGTTCACCAATAATTGAAGATGAGGATGACATAGATCACGATGAAGATGTAATTGATGACGAATAAGATTAATATTATAATTGTTTTACCTATAAATATAAATATTTTCAACTATTTATGTAAATGTATAAGAATATATGGTGCCTTTTTATGGTCCAAATTTTTATGCAAATCGTTCTAAGGTGAAATCATTTTCTTCGCATTACTAATTTTTTTATATTAATCTCTAATAAGGGTCGCTTTTTAAGGGCTGAAATATGATGGAACTTTATTCAAAAGCACGAAACTATCATTATTTAATTAATTCAAACCAAATTTTACCCATATTCAGGTTTAATATGTTATTTTATAATTTTTGACAATTAGGAGTAGTTTTCACCCCTAAGAACAATCAGGGTTCGTCGACATGACATAAACTATAAAGCAGCGGGTGAATTGAGCTTAAATCCAAATTTTTATCCAAATCGATCCAAGGCGAAATCATTTTTTTAGAATTAGTAATTTTTTTACATGAATCTCTAACAAGGGTTGTTTTTTAAGGGTTGAAATATGATGGAACTCTATTCAAAAGTATAAAATAATTATCATGTAACTAATTCAAACCAAATCTTACCCATATTCAGGTTTAATATATTATTTTATAATTTTTCACAATTAGGGGTAGTTTTCACCCCTAAAACCCTTCAGCGCACTTCGGTTCGATATAGATTTTGATCCTTGGGCTATCACCTACCTTCTGTTAAAATTTCAACTGGATATATGCAGGACGAAAAAATTGCGAGGTTTTAACTTTTTTCGAGCTTAATTTCCTGAACTATTATCGTTTCCTTAGACAAACCCGTCTTACGCAAACAACATTGTTGTGAGACAGATAGTTGAACGATATTTTATACAATGTCTATACCCAGGTATGGATTTATTTTTGTCCAAGTTTTATATTGGTCCACTATTTCAGATGCAGTTCAAACAGACATGTATTAAATTGTATGTTCCGTTTTAATTTGGTTCAATCTGTATATATATATATATATATATATATATATATATATATATATATATATATATATATATATATCCTATTGTAAATAATTACTTATCAAGTGATAATAAAATGGAAAAATTTAAGATTAAATGAATTATTGGGATAAAAACAATCATTTTCCTACAAATATGTCCTTTGTTTTTATTAAAAAAATAGATAAACTACTTAAATGAGATTAAAGCAATTAAGATATTTTCAAATCATGAATGTGTTGCTTGTGTGAGTCTATTTCAAATAGGTAGGTAAAAGAAATAATAAATAAGACTTACACACAATCAGTTTAATTTAACTACCTAGACGACCGGTTTCGCTTTCTACAATTTGCAAAGCATCTTCAAGTCAGTAGATACAAAGTTAATTAAATGCTGAAATAGTAAAACCCATATTAGGATGTTGTCTTATAAAGATAAACAAAAGATTAATAATATAAATTACAGTAATTATGACAATATTACATGTCTGTGTTTTTTTTTTAAATGAATAAACTGTTTAAGCAGACAAAATAAGACCCATAAATTGGTATAAAAATAGTCTATTGAATTGTAATAAATTAGTAAATAAAACCGGCATGTAAGTAATGTTTTGTAAATGTTTTGTTTATTTACTAATTTATTACAATTCAATAGACTATTTTTATACCAATTTATGGGTCTTACTTTGTCTGCTTAAACAGTTTATTCATTTAAAAAACACACAGACATGTAATATTGGCATAATTACTGTAATTTATGGGTATTTATGGTAATTTATATGGTAAATATGGGTTTTATTATTTCAGCCTTTAATTAACTTTGTATCGAGAGACCTGAAGATGCTTTGCAAATTGTAGAAAGCGAAACCGGTCGTCTAGATAGTTAAATTAAACTGATTGTGAGTAAGTCTTTATTATTTATTTTACCTATTTAAGATATTTTCATATCAAAAATTCTGTACGTAGAGTATTTTACGTAGGTGCAACTCTGTACATTAGACATCACTGAAAATAATTGGATTTGAACTCATCTTTAAGAATTTTAAGGAAAAATCGATTTGTAATTTTCATGTATCAATGCAAACGTTTCCTTTGACTAACAAATTCATTTCTAATTTTGAAAGATGACTATGGAAAACAAACAAAATAACAATTTCATTAATTTCAACGTTATATTTTTTATCTTCCTTAGTAATCTTTTACAATTATAAATTAATTTGGTAGTCAATGGAAACGTATGTATTGATACATGTAAAGTACAAATCGATTTTTCTCAAGGTGGATATGAAAAATAAACAAATAACAATTTTATTAATATCACAATTGGATGTGAATGTTCAGATAAGAAAATCATTTTTGTATAAAAAAATCGATCTTTATTAAATTTTACATCAAAATAATGAAATTTTGAAAGACGAGAAGTTATGAATAAAAATATCCACTATTCCTCCTAAACGAACCGTTTATGACTGCAATTAAAAGAAAACGTATTCAACCCAAACATTCCACTAAATAAGCGTAGAGAATATTATCACTTAAAAGACAACCGATCTTTAAAAGGCTCTATACTATAATTCCACTATTTGGAAGAGCGATTCATCGTTTAAAGGCGGAGAAGTGGGGAAAGACGTATGAAAATCCAGTGGCAATCCAAAAGCAAAAACTAGTTTTACGGCTATCCGTGGGTCGGAATTGGAACAGAGCTAATTCCAAAGTTGCCAAACGATTGAGAAATAATGTTTTAAAATATCGATTTTTATTTTATAAATTTTAATATGTAACGAAACGGAACATATAAATAATAGTATATTACATAACGAGAGTTGTAAGAAGCTTATTACATGCGAGTAAAAAAGTTGCGCGCGAGCCGCATAGCGGCGAGCGCAGTAATTTTACAAGCATGTAATAAGCTTACAACTCAAGTTGTGTACTATACTTTTTCTACCATTATTTCCGTTTATAAAAATAAAAATTAAATTACCACTATATTTACACTGACAGTTTAATAATTTTTAATCTGTCAAAATAACGTCTGTTAATTCGTTTCCATGGTAACTCGACCAACTGACTTACAAGGCTTATGTGATATTACACATTTTTATAGAACTGAAGCGTAATTTTTTTTATTACGTGCTAGTCATTACGTGTCAGTATCTGTTATGATGCATTTACTTAGCATCCAAATAGTAGGTAATATACAATTTACTAGTAAGAGAGTAGAAAAAATTTATTTCATTACAATTTTGTGCTTAATTTTTACTATTGAAAAAATCATGTTTTTTGGTATTTTTATGACGGTAATAATCGCTGCGTGGAAGGATATAGGTTTTGTATGACCATAATTACTACTTGTGAACAAGAATTGGTTATACTATACGACAACTCCTGGTCAAGTATTCTATAGAGAAGCACAATTAAATATACTGCTTATAAATTCTGTAATTTCTTATGAAAAAACGCAAATTGCAATTGAGAAAACGGGCCGTAGAACGTAGTTTCGAGGGCCGCTGTGTACATTTAAATTTGATATTAGGCGTTTAAACGATGAATCACTCTTCCAAATAGTGGAATTATAGTTTAGATTACAGCTTCCTTAAAGCCGGTCACTCACGATACTGCGGTGTAGTTCGACAAAATCGTCGATGATATCAATTTTGAAGTACTGCATCATAGAAACCAGTTTCTCTGTGGCAAAATTGTAACGATTTTGCTGGATGCACGGTCATAGATGATCAAAATGTTTGTCAATTAGTCGAATTCGATAAAATTGCTCGCCACGATTTTTTCGAATGCAATTGCAGTACAATAATGTTGAAAATCGGATGGAAACACACACTTACCGATTTTGCAGTATGCTGATCCCGAGTCTAAGGAACGGGGTAGATTGTCTGTTTTAGGGCGTATCTTCATAGGTACAAAAAGACAAGATACAATGCTAATACACACAATGCTGAAGTATAATAAATGTACAGTGGAGAGAAACAGAATTTATAGAGAAATAAGTATGAACCCTGTGATTGTGAGAGAGATGATCGTGAGAATGACGGGAAATAAGGAGGGATGGAATAGTGTTCACAATTACATCGGAACAGTAATTAAAAAGAAAGAAGAAGAGAAACACGAACCGTACCAACGACGAGATAACATCTAGATAAGAGAAGGGAGTGTTCCATGAATTTCGTCAGCCTTACAGCGGCCATCTCACTTTCAAAGTACGGTACATGCGACACTGCGCACAAGTAGGAGAGGGTGGTTTTAGTTGGTAGGCAGGATAACAGATACCTGAATCTTTGACACTGTTCTATCATTAGTACTTTAAATTAAACTAGAATCCAAATTTTAAGGACTCAAAATGGAGGTAGCATAAAAAAAATTCGGTGCCCAACCAACCCCCTTACCAGGAAAATTCTAGGTGCGCCACTGATTTTTCGATAAGGTGATTTATGTCAAATCGACGTAAAATGAGTTAAAGAATTTATCGTTTTTTGTGAAGAGCATTCGTAGGCATCCTGTATATTAATATAGGACCAGGTATGCAAAAGTGCGAATATTCATATTTTAAATCCAATTATTTTCAGAGATAAGTCTTAATATGTAGTGTACGTTACATATCGTGTACTTTGAAGAAATGTACATGTATATAAATAACAAAAAAGTATATGTGCCAAAAAAATTAAAAACTGTGTGAAAATAGTGAATATTATAAAAGAAAAATCATAAATATAATACTTACGATCACTAGGCATCCCCAACTTGGTTAACAATTTGGTAGTAATGTTAGTATAGTAGTCATTATAGGGTGTATATAATATATATGTGCTAGCCACATCTATGTTATAATTTATTCCTTCAATCGTACCATAAGTGGGATTGGGAACTTCTATTTTATTCAAGCCTGTGATTTGGCTTCTTCCATAGGCAATCAATAAAAATAGGCATACTGGCAGGAATGATTCTATAATTGTTAAAAACCAATGCCTTTTTCTTATGATGTAGTTTTTCCACACGACGACCTCCAGTTGCAAAATAGTCATGGTTAAAACCAAAGAAAACACCTAAAACAGTTCATATTAAAAAGTTTGTACATTTACGAAAAATGTTCATATTTAAAAAATTGTCCATATAATATAGCTAATAATGTACAATTCTGAAATGATAAACATGCTTCCACTTACACCTCAAATAATTGACAGTGTTTTTAACATTAAAAATATTGACGTTTTTTTTTGTTAGGTGCACTAATATATTTACAGGTTCGTAAATGGTGGATTCAAAGGATATTAGAATTATTAGCCGTAATTGAAAGAGCTTTTAGATAAAATCGAAATAAGGAGAGTTGTTAGACAAGGATGCACATTATCACCTAACCTATTCAAAATATATATATATATATATATATATATATATATATATATATATATATATATATATCAAATTATTCTCGACCGTACTGTGTTAAATATTATTTGTAGTCTCAGCAATTGGTCTGTATGAAATAAAACTCTATTTGTTATTTCTCAATATTTCGTCACGATTTTGTGACTTCTTCAGGAGAAAACTGTAAATTTATTATAATTATTATATGTAAACAAAATGAATATTTCAATACTTACAACTTAAGATTAAAAATTTAAATTTTGATAACATATCCAATTTAAATAAATGACATTTTTTGATTTTAATGTCATTTATTTAAATTGGATATGTTATCAAAATTTAAATTTTTAATCTTAAGTTGTAAGTATTGAAATATTCATTTTGTTTACATATAATAATTATAATAAATTTACAGTTTTCTCCTGACAAAATCGTGACGAAATATTGAGAAATAACAAATAGAGTTTTATTTCATACAGACCAATTGCTGAGACTACAAATAATATATATATATATATATTATATATATATATATATATATATATATATATATATATATGTATGTATTATGGTATATATGGTATATATATATATATATATATATATATATATATATATATATATATATATATATATATATATATATATATGTATGTATTATGGTATATATGGTATATATATATATATATATATATATACACCGGGTGGTGAATCGTCAAACGGACCATAGGAAACTCAATGAGAAATTTTAAATTGTTGAATTGCTGCTTCCCTAATTATTTTAGATCAAAAGTCATAAAAAACTATGTGTGGAGGACTAAAATCTGAATTAAAAACAAATGTTAAAACCGTTCTACGACTCAAATGTACTTAAAAATTTTGCAAAAATATAATACATTTTTAGGCCACCCCTAAAAGTTAGGCCACACGTAATGCAAAAATATATATTAGGACGTTTGCGTTTTATCATATTTATGTCAGATGTTTGACAATTTGAATTGTCAATTTTTTTATTTTATGATTAAATTATAAACAATGAATTTTACTAAATACTACTACTAATGAAAATTATTACTTTGTGAACAATAAATTATATTGTTTACAAATCGATCAATATAATGAAATGTACTCAGTTGACGAAAAATCGCATAATGTTGTATTCAGGCAATAGCGCGAATCTTTTCCTGCCACTACCGGATCTTTATTTAACGTAAGATATTCTAATTCACTAAAATTTAATTCCATGTTAAGTTATACAACAAATCAATGAATTCCAATATAGTTACTGTGATCTTTATTCCTAATAATAATATATGATAATTTCTAAACATAAAACTATAACAAATGTTATAATAAAACATGAATAAAACATTTTTATTATTGCTTTTTTCTTCTCAACTGAGTACATTTTTTAATCAACTTAATTTTTTTTTAACAATAAATCACAATATTTTGGCCATTTAAATCATAGATAAATGTAATATAATTGATTTAAATATTGTCAAATATCATATGACAAATCAGAAACAATAATATGACAAAACGCAACACGTAATATACATTTTTTCTCAGAAAAATGTATTATATTTTAGCAAAATTTTGGAATACGTTTAAGTCGTAGAATAATTTTAACAGTTGTTTTCGATATATATTTGAGTCCTCTACAAATAGTTTCCCATGACTTTTGGTGTAAAATAATTAGGGAAGCAGGAATTCAACAATTTAGAATTTCCCATTGAGTTTCCTATGGCCCGTTTGACGATTCACCACCCTGTATATATATATATATATATATATATATATATATATATTATATATATATATATATATATATATATGTATTCATGACAAACACATGAAATCATGAATAAATATATGGCATTGCAATATTCAATCCCAATCGAGTTTTGGAAAAGCTACCACAAGACACTATTGATCAAGTCGAGCTTAGACGGTCGCTTACTAACTTTTTAAAAAACTTAAGGTACAATTCCGGCTATGAAAACCTCGAGGTAAAAGAAAATTGTTAGCAGCTGAACCAGGTCAAAGTGTTACAGCACCTAAACCATCTGAGGAGTCCAGTGACGATGATGCAAATAAAAATCTTAAATTAGATGACAGCAACAATGATGTTGATATTAACAAAGATGAAGAGTAGGTTGAATACTTTTATCCTTCATTAGAAAACATGACGAACTGAAAATTCCAGCTGGTGAAATTTATGTCTGGTTCTCGGAAAAAGAAGGAATTTCGCTGTCTGAAAAGTAAAAGAAGTTTTAAAATGACAAAAATAAAATAAAATAGTTGAAACTTTGTTGAAATGTTTCTTAAAAAACATTTTTTGGTATAAATAAACAATAGTACAATGAAAATAGTGTCATTCTCACCCCGCAAGATCAATCTCACTTTGTAAAATTTCATGAAACTGTTGGACCAAATTAGTCAAGGTTGAGATTGATCATATTTTATTTAAGAGCACTACTGTTTCATGCTATAAAATCATTATGATCGATCTCACCCCATTCACGGGTGTAAGATTGATCGCCCTTTTTTATAAGATAAGTGGATTTTTTTAACAATTATAACAAAACTAGGATCAAAGCATTACTATTTGGATATTAATATAACACGTGAAGTGTTTAAAGATAGAAAAAATACAAAACTGTTTAAAATATAAAGAAAATATTAAGTTTTCACTAAAAAACTTTAGTAATTTTCAGTACTATAAACTAATAGCTATATTATATCAACAGATAGAGAGTAAAACAAAAAATATTTAGGTGGTGTAAAAACCAAAACCACACAATAAAATAGAACTAAAAAACGAGTTAAGCGGTATTTAAAAAAAAATTGTATATTTTTATATACTACTTACTGTAGTGACCCACTCACTACAGTTTATACACGTCTTCAAGTCACAATATAAATATAACTTACTTCAAAACAGCTCGATATTTAATTACTTAGAGTGCAACTGCCACTCAATGACGTGTATATACATTTTGAAAATATATCAATTTAGTGTATATGTATATATTTATATCAATTTAAATATTGTGAAATAACAATTTTAATAAAACAAAATGACGGTATTAGATTTTGATTTGATACAGAGCAGCAACAAGCCGCATATACGTATTTCGATCTCTTTAGATCTCCTCAGTACGGTATAGCTACTACTCCATATCAAACCAAAATATTTTCCCGTCGTAGATTATTGTTATTAAAAATAACTATTTACGGACGTAACTACGCCATCTAAGAACAAAAAGAGAAATCACACGATTTCTACCTGGCGAAATCGAATTCAAATATAAGCCGCCGTGCTCCCTAAAACTTGCGAAGCAAACAGCTTGATGAATGAATCGGCAAGGGAGTCTAAAAATTGCACTCGAATTCACTACGAATATAGGCCATGATGAACGGCATTTGGAGTGCAATTTTTAGACTCCCTTGCCGATTCATTCATCAAGCTGTTTGCTTCGCAAGTTTTAGGGAGCACGGCGGCTTATATTTGAATTCGATTTCGCCAGGTAGAAATCGTATGATTTCTCTTTTTGTTCTTAGATGGCGTAGTTACGTCCGTAAATAGTTATTTTTAATAACTATAATCTACGACGGGAAAATATTTTGGTTTGATATGGAGTAGTAGCTATACCGTACTGAGGAGATCTAAAGAGATCGAAATACGTATATGCGGCTTGTTGCTGCTCTGTATCAAATCAAAATCTAATACCGTCATTTTGTTTTGTTTATTTACTTCATTTGGAGTACCAGAAATCGAATTCACTACGAATATAGGCCATGATGAACGGCATTTGGAGTGCAATTTTTAGACTCCCTTGCCGATTCATTTCAAGCTGTTTGCTTCGCAAGTTTTAGGGAGCACGGCGGCTTATATTTGAATTCGATTTCGCCAGGTAGAAATCGTATGATTTCTCTTTTTGTTAAAAATTTTAATATTTTAAATATTACAAAAATATGAAGTCTTATATGAAAAAAACCCAGCAAAGACTACGAAGAAATACCCTTCACCTATTCAACTAATAGCTACACAACTATCTTGCCGCTAGGGATCATGATCCGTTTTAACATTTAAAAATAGCTGTTGTGCCACTTCACCTATATGTTGATCTGTACAAAATTGACTAGCACATTCAAACTCACAACACCTTTTCACTATGGCATATGATAATTTTAGACTAAAAAGGTTTTTTAAAGTTAAAAGGGAAAAGTGATAAAAAAATAGATATCTCACAACTCAAGAATCCCGTAAGGAAAAAAGAAATAGTATCTTATAAAAAAAGATCCAGAAATAACCAAAGAAGTTATTCATACAATAAAAGCTTAGAAAAACGTAACAGCCACGGTCCGGACAATATCAATGTCGAAGTAGTTAAATTAATTGCAGACAACGAGTGTAAAAGCCTAGACTTGATATTAGCACTATTCAAAAGATATTTGACTCAGGTAAAATACCATAAATATATAGAAAACCTCAACAGAGAAAAAGAATTCAGAGCATTCTATAAGAAAGTTAACATCAACAGAAAATAATTCAAGGCAACCACAAGACAATGTCGAAGTCAGAATGGCGACCTATTAACAACAAGGAAAGATGTATTGAATAGATGGGTGGAATACTTTAACCAGGTACTTAATATAGAGGACGAAGAAGAAAACCTAGAAGACGAAAGAGATGAGGTAAGGGGAACAGACGAGAGGGAAGAGGAAG